GGTGCTTTTAGCACAAAGCAAGTACCAATTCCGCCAGAATTGTCTATGAAGAGTTTAATGCACTGACTCATTACCGCAGGCTTGACTTCTTAAACTACAGCACACCGGTTGTTGAAGAAGTGCCTCGATTCGCAGCTGACTTACTTGTCGGGAAATCTGAAAGGTCTGTGCCTTTCTGTGGCATGCTAAAAGGAACTTCAGGTGAGTGAAAATGCTACGGTTTTTCCAAAGCATCGTATTACTGATGTACCTATGGGACACTGAAGTAACGTGAAAGCCGATTTTTGCCTTGTGATTGGGGCTTATCACACACTCAGCTTCTGAGCCTATATGGCGTCGCCTGCCTCTCACCCGGTTAGGAGGGGCAGGCAGCGCGGGAAATAAAAGCCTTGCCCCTGGCTTACCAGACACTAAGCTTACCACTGCACCGCCGGTACACTATCCGCCAATTGTTGTCGAGCGTTCCCTTGCATCACAGGATGCAAAACAATGCTGTAATTTCACCCAAATGCTGTGCGTAGCACAAAATAAAATCACATTTGATCTTTGTTGACAACCCAAGCAAAATGGCCAGTGGGTGTCACCCGCAATGCACACTGTATACGCTCTGTAACGTGATGACAGGTGGGTGCCGCCGGCAATGTACCCTGTATACGCCGTGTAACCTGCCTGACCGGTGGCTGTCACCGGCACTGTCCTCTGTATACGTTCTGTGACGTGCCGACCGGTGGGTGTCACCGGCAATGTCCTCTGTATGCGCTCTGTCGCGTGCTGACCGATGGGTGTCACCAGCAATGTTCCCTGTGTACGCTCTGTGACGTGCTGATCGGCGGGTGTCACCAGCAATGTCCTCTGTATACGCTCTGTGACGTGCTGACCAGTGGGTGTCACCAGCAATGTCCTCTGTATACGCTCTGTGACGTGCTGACCAGTGGGTGTCACAAGCAATGTACACTGTATACGCTCTGTGACGTGCTTACCGGCACAGACTGCCGGCAGTTTTTGCGGTTGTAGGCTATGTGACTTTTCGACCGTTGCGTATTGCTGACAGCGCCTACATGTGTTGCCTACCGCCGATGCGTGCTGGTTGACAGAGTATTCGCTCTGTAGCGTGCTGGCAGGTCTTTATTGTCGGCACTGTATGCACTCTGTGACGCGCTGGCGGCACGCACTGCCGACAGTGACGATCCCGGTGATCGAGCAGGACGGCCCGCTCGTCATCAACCACGTGCTAGGCGGGTCCGTGCCGTACCACTTCAACATCCGGGCCACACAGATCCGCTGCGCATCGGTGCCTGACGTCAGCGAGCGTGAGTGTGCACTGACGTCGGTGGAGAGACACCGATGGCAGAGGACTGTGCTGAACAGCTGCCATTCCGCGTGAACATGCGCCATATTGTACTGGCTGCTCAATCTGCAAGTACCTGGATGAACCAAGAACTTCCATAACTGAGATATGCTTGCAAAAAATCAGTCCACATGACAAACACACGCATGATTGTGGCAGCAAACGACTAATGAGTGTAATACTAAAGCAAAAGTTACGCTGCTTACCGGTAGAATGCATAGCTGCACGCATGCTTACCACGTAACTTTATGTGGGTTTGCCATGATGCCACTTAAGGTCACCAAGCGCACTGGAATAATTGCACGATTCAAATGAAGTGTTCCGTTTTGTCCAATCTGCCGCCGGCTCTTAGTGCCAGACTTCATATCATCAGTGTCGTAACATGCCGAGGAAGAGAATGGGGAGCTTTTCCTCTATAATTTCTGAGTGGTCTCCATAAGGTGAGGTTTATGGTTGAGGGATTCCTTTGTTGCACTCGATTCCATCAGTTGTGCTGCAAGGGCAGCTGTCTGGCCGGTTCGTGACCAAAGGATAGTGGACAAATAAAAATGCATGTTCACCTCGTTACGTGTGGGAGCACGGTCGTCTGGAAAAAGCCGTCAGAGGTGCTGGAAAATGCGCAAAATGTCGCTCCGTTAATGATCTTAAGGCTTCAGTGAAGTACAACAGCCGCTTGATGACCATCAGCCCGATCCGCATCTATCGTCCCGATGCTCAGTTTTACGCAGCACTCCGAAACACGACCCGGGTGTATAGAGACCAGCCATCGCTGGATTCCATATCGCGTCGCTAGTAGAGCGACGATTGCTTGCTGTGTCCCCACCCCCCCGCGGTCGGAGTGCCATTTTGGTCTCACGTATTTGACGCTTCCCTTCTAATCTCTCTTCTGCAGAGCTGCAGAGCTCAGCGTGCGGGCGCCGAAATAGAGGCATGGTGCGCCACAAACGTACTGCCATGACCAGCGTGGACGGCAACCACGCCAGACCGAGGGCTGACGAAGACCCGGTCAGGCCGGAAAACGGCGAGGACGAGCAGCAGGAGTATCTGGGCACGGACGGCTTCTCAAGCGGCGTACTGGACGTCGACACACCATGGCTCAATTTCCCATACGACTATCTCAGATCGTTCGGTGAGATAAAAATCGATACTGTGATCCACGACAAAGGCACGCATGCCCAGGCGCGCACGACCCAAGCAGTCAGTACATGGGTGTAAGTGCACCTTCATGATGATTCGTGTTATATCACCGTGTCACTTTACCCTTACATTGGGCAGATAATAGGCACATTCCTACCGATGAAATATCTAAGAAGCACATTCATTCCGATTCTAACTAGTCATAATGGACCAATTTGAGTTAAAAATAACCGCTCACCAACGTACTAATCCCCTTTCCCAATCCCCTTCTCCGGGGGATTGCTTGCACCAGCCGCCAGCGCAGCGTCCCCATTTACTAAAGCTGGCGGTGGCATACCGCCCCAGGACCTGCGGTGACACCCAGCCCATGACACCTCGCAGAGACATACAGGACAAGTTCGCGTCCGCCAGAAAAACCCTGACGCGCATCCTGGGTGGCTCGGAGACAGGCGTCAATGAGTGGCCGTGGCAGGTGGCACTGCTGAAGCGCAAGAACCTCTCCTCCCGCTCCATCGCCTTCTTCTGTGGCGGCGTGCTCATCAACGAGGAGTACGCGCTGACGGCGGCTCACTGCGTCACCGGGTCAGTACACCCTGCGTCACCGGGTCGGTACACCCTGCGTCACCGGGTCAGTACACCCTGCGTCACCGGGTCAGTACACCCTGCGTCACCGGGCCAGTACATCCTGCGTCACCGGTTCAGTACACCCTGCGTCACCGGGTCAGTAACCCTGCGTCACCGGGTCAGTACACCCTGCGTCACCGGGTCAGTACACCCTGCGTCATCGGGTCAGTACACCCTGCGTCATCGGGTCATACACCCTGCGTCATCGGGTCAGTACACCTGCGTCACCGGGTCGTACACCTGCGTCACGGGCCGTACACCCTGCGTCACCGGGTCACTACACCCTGCGTCATCGGGTCAGTACACCCTGCGTCACCGGGTCAGTACACCCTGCGTCACCGGGTCAGTACACCCTGCGTCACCGGGTCAGTACACCCTGCGTCACCGGGTCAGTACACCCTGCGTCACCGGTTCAGTACACCCTGCGTCACCGGGTCAGTACACCCTGCGTCACCGGGCCAGTACACGCTGCGTCACCGGGCCAATACACCATGCGTCACCGGGCCAGTACACCTTGCGTCACCGGGCCAGTACACCTTGCGTCACCGGGCCAGTACACGCTGCGTCACCGGGCCAGTACACCTTGCGTCACCGGGTCAGTACACCCTGCGTCACCGGGTCAGTACACCCTGCGTCACCGGGTCAGTACACCTGCGTCACCGGGCCAGTACACCCTGCGTCACCGGGTCGGTACACCCTGCGTCACCGGGCCAGTACACGCTGCGTCACCGGGCCAGTACACCTTGCGTCACCGGGCCAGTACACGCTGCGTCACCGGGTCGGTATCACCGGCGGCGGCGCACCACGTCATTGGACGAATAGAGCTGCCTGACGATGCCACCAACTGGATTGGGTAATCGCCAGGCCGCTGGTGGTGCGGCAGCTGACGAACTAGACCACAATATCGGTGAAGCATGGATAGACTTAGAACGAGAGGTGAAGAACGCAGGCTCAGAAGTGGAACAGCTGGAGAAGGACAATCTTATAACGGGAGGTGGATAAGGACACAGGCATATGACGGGAACAGCTTAAGAGGGGGTGTGCGCGCGTCAGTTATTCAAGAACTATCAGAGTGTCAACTGGCCAGACCAGATTAGTGTACGCTTGATAGCGCCAGATAGGTTTTCTGCCGTGTGAGCCCCTCCTCGCCAATGACTCACTGCTCCCATCGACAGCTTTAAGAGCTTCAATTTCACGGAGGTCCGGAGACACATCATCGTGAGCGTCGGCGATCACGACCTTCGGAGGCTGAACGACACGAAGGCCGCCTTCCGGGGGGTGCGTGACGTTATAGTGCACCACATGTGGGACAAGACGCGCAACGTCAACGACATCGCTCTCATCCGCCTCAGCAAACCGGTCACCTTCTCGGGCTCCATCGCGCCGGCCTGCATGCCTACCGACAATCGGTGAGCGCAGCCCACGCCCGCGGCCGGGGGCAGACAGCCACCCAGCGCTAGTCCTCTGTCAGGGGGAGTGCAGTCGGAGGGTCGATCGCGCCGCTACAAGCGTGGACGTACATATGGTGCAATTCGACCAGTACCCAAGCTACCGGTTCATTCAAAGTTTCAAGGAGTGCCCGTATGATGTTCTAAAACTCTAACACGCTACACATCTGTAACGTTACGTGACGACAAAGCACCTTTGTACGCCATACATCTTGAATCGCTATGCTCCGACACCAGTTGTTAATGGGGGACTGCAGTTGCATTTTGTGGCCAGACCACAGCCACTTAAGTTTCACCCAAATGCTGCACAATATGCTCGATGTGTCCGTCCTGTGGGCCAGGCTGCCAAACGTCCACTGGCAATCGCGGTTTCTGAATGCCAAACGCAGACTACGCGTGGACCCCCCCCCCCCCCCCCCCCCCCCCCTCTTCCCGGCTGTCCGTTCTGACACGGCCTGACGCGGTCAGGACGATGACTGACGAGGAAGTCACGATCACCGGCTGGGGCGTGATCTCCTTCAACCGCACGGCCGGTCCGGTGTCGCCCGTCCTCAAGGGAGTCACACTCAGCCCGGTCGCGCTGGGGCCGTGCAACGAGCTCTGGAAGAAGTACGATAACCCACGCACCATCTACCCAGAGTTTTTACCCATTGACGAGAAAAAAGTGTGCATCGGCACCAAACCCGGCGCTGCTTGTTTCGTGAGTACATACAGCAGGTGGGGAGGGGCCGGGGGCGGCCGTCGGTCCTGGTCAGGGCGGTCAGATGTGTGTGCGAGAAACACTTGGAGCTAAGGTGAAGACGGTATTTGAGTACACAAATATGAGCCGTGGTGTCACTGATGTTAGTGGTTAGTGGAACGAGCGGGAGAAGCTAGCCGTTTTTTTGCCAAAGGAGATTCAGGGAGCGGCATTGTTTGCGCGAGAGCTGTGCATGTTCGCCCCAGTAGTTGGTGCAGTGCGTGTTTTTCACATGAGCGTGATATGTCACGGGGCCTGCACACAAAAATCACGACCCCTAGCAAAGCCAATCCAACGTGCTGGTGCTTCACGCTCCATTCATGACCTCCATGATTGCCCCATGAGCGGCCACTGAGGCGAAGGTGCTGCCACCAGGGCGACAGCGGCGGCCCGGCCACCTACCGCGAGGAGGACGGCCGCTACACGCTGCTGGGGGTGACCAGCTATGGACCCCCCATCTGCAAGATCGGCGGCTTGCCCACCATCTACACCAGGATCTCGCGCTACATGTACTGGATCCAGCTGAACATTCTGCACCTGTTCGCCAGCGCCAGATGAGCCGGAGCGCGCGCGGCTGATGCCAGCCAGCCGCCCGGAGGAGGATCGCAGGGCCTGGAGCGGTGCGGCGCGATAGACACGGTGCGGCTGACTGTGTCCAGTGAAAAGACAGGCCGCATTGTTGCGAGCATGGAGGTCATCAAACGAGTTCCATTCTCTCGTCAGTGTCATGCATCAGATTGACTTTGGCTGCCGCCGACAGTATGCTGCATGAAATATGAGCCACTGAAATGCATGAAATACGAGCTATTTGAATAAGTTGCAACAAACCAGCCATGACGATGTTGGGAGCGAAAGTCTGAGAAATCAGGCAAATATGTACCCAGAAGTAAGTTTACGATTAGATTTTGGTGACTCTCAGGGGCGTAGCAAGGATTTTCTCAAGGAAACACGCCACACCCACTTCTAACTTGCTTTCAACAGCCATCTATATAGACAAAAATGCGAGCGTAAGGGGAAAGGGGGGGGGGGGGTCGGTACTTTTGCCCATTTGGCTGGGAGCCTTGTCAATCAATTGTGATAACTTTGAAAAGGGGTCAATATTCTTGGCGTCTTTTGTTTTATTTGTATATTCAACAGTTCAAAAGCCGCAGGTACCATATGCATTATGAATGCCTCATCTGAAGGATTTGGTGTCGATCGTCGGCCCCAGCCCTCCCCACCAGACCCCACGCCTTGAATTGGTCTATGCCGAGCTAAGCTGGAAATGTAAGGCTGGCTGCTGCTTTGTTGTATAGCTCCAACGCATTCTTCAGTTGTTGTGCGACTTCAAACGTCCTGCGATGTTGGCGCGCTCGAGACATGTCTGCAATGCTGGCGGTGAACGTGTTGTGAATATCAGGGATACAATTTGCGATGAAGCGACTACCTGCGAACCTTTACTGCACGGGTTATGCCAACTCAAGACCTTGTAAGCGTGGTATATGACAACGGAAATACATCTCCCCTGCTGTTATGCTGGCAATACTTCCCAGGGTCATTGTTTCGAGGGAGATTTCTGTCCAGTGCTCGGATGAAATCAAGCCATCGTATCCGACGTAGGCAGCGACAGCGAACTACTGCCGGTGCGTAACCAATGCTTCGAATCATGCACGTTGTTCGATAGCATTTGCATGCGGTCACAGACAGGGAGTCGGTACCGTTTCGTGGCCGGCTGCCCCATCCAACTAAGATGAACTACGCGCACGACGCTGCAGTTGATTAATTGGGGTTATTTGTCAACCAAACGGCGATAATCCCGGTAATGGTTGCTTGCGCCGTTTGATTGCTTGAGATATGAAGTGCTGGGTGTTGGCCAGTGCTGCGCTCTGTGCTAGTTGACCCGGGCCGTGACCGAGGGCTGAGTTGACCCGGGCCGTAACCGAGGGCTGGCGGGGAGTCTTTGGTCAGGCCTCGCTGCGAGGGGGTATTAATGTATCGTTCCTTGCGAGCCGGCGCGTTCCTGCTACGAGAGCTGCCCATCGGAAGGAGCGAAGACGGAACATTGAGAGGGACGGGGAACCAGTTGGGTGGGGGATGGACAATTTAAATGCAGGTTCTTGTTAGCTCTCTGGTGGAGCTCGGCTGAAAAGGCTCAAAACATTTAAAAGCCGTCCAGGCCGTCCCGCCAACTTTTGGCGTTCAGGATTATTGACACATTTTTTGTACCTTCTAAAGATTCATGTGCACTTCCATAAAGTTCCAGATAAGATTCGAAATGTTGCGAACACAAGCAATCAGCTACGGAAACCAGCTCGTCGTATACAAAAGCTTTGCGCTGATGCTACTGAAGACGTTGCAGGTACGTCCGCCACATGCGAACTCTGGATTGACTGTGGGAGGCGGTGGTCAGTCATACAATGGGGATGTGCAGAAAAAGCTTTGATTTTGCAACTAGCCATCACTCAACGCTGGGGGTACGACCAGAAATGCAGGACCAGGCGACCCCATTTCGCACAGGGTTGGAGCACGCGATGAAAGGTAGGGGTGGTTCTATGAGTGCGGATGTGCTTGGAGAGGAGCGGAGTAGTGCATGCAAGATTTTGTGGAGGAAATCCGTTTTATGCTGAAGACCTGCGGACCATGTTAAATATTGGTTAGTTGTTCACAATTTTGCAGCCTAAATGACAACATTTGAACATCATGTTCTAGGTCCAAAGAGGTACCGCAAGATGAAAACGTAGCTGTCTTTCCCACCATCTAGCCTATAATTTTGGATTATGTCTTAGTTCGTATTTTTGTGAATTTGTGGTACCACATTTGTTAGCGAGTTTAAAAGGAAGTGTTCCAAGATGGTATGAGGTTTTGAACTGAAATAGCCACCTTGAAGATCATTCGGTGTGGTTTGCAGACCTGCGCTTCTTAAGACTTAAACCCCCTCTAGTTTCTGAGCTGCATGCCCGCGAAAAGGTGAAGATTTTTTTTGGGGGGGGGGGGGTGGGAGGGCTATCTCGAAGTCACTCAGGCATCTATGAGGCCATGATAACGCCCTTCAAATCCTATCATTCTACTAGCCATTCGGCGATCTGGCGTTCGCAAGCACGATTTTCAGACATAACGGCCGTCAATTGGCTCTTAATCAATGTTGTGCAAGGTAGTGATGACAATCAAACAATTATGCATTGAGAAGCACGTTACTTAGCAATGAAAATGTGCTGTCCGGAGCAGCCTTTTCCGCTCAAAACTATACCGATAGTTATAAGTAAGCTTATTTCATTATCTTTGATGCTTAATTGAATATATTCAAATGTGGAACATTCCCTTTTAAAGGGAACTAAATAAAACGGAAATTAAAGTGCTATTTCAGTTCAGAACCCCATGCAAATGTGAAACACTCCCTTTGAACAACGATGCCGAAATGCGAGGTCCGCACGCACTGGATGCCTTGCCGATTAAATACACCATGCCAGTGAGAATGGTCAGGCGTACGTTCATAAATTGCACGAGGCGCACAAGGTTCTTGATGGTGTGCAAGCCAAGCTTACCACGAAGGGATTTGAACAACGCAACGTCACACTCAAGTGTGGTTTCAAATCGTGCTGAAACCCTTTTTCAGATGTTTTGACATGGTAACCAAGATGAGGGGGCGTCTCATCCACCGTAAGCAGTGCGTGACCAATGAGGGGAGGGGGTTCGGAAATGGTCGCATCTGCGTAACGTGGTTTATGGACGGCCCCCTGTCTTTGGCCGGCGCGCCACTACAGCCCACATTGGGCCGGCGTTCAGCTCAGCCTCAGCCTGCGGTCAGTCAGGGGTCGGGCACCGGGCGGACGTGGAGACGCGTCTCCCACAAGTTTCAGAAGATGGGGATTTCAGATATGTGTTGTGTGGTGTGTGTGGTGTGTGTGTGTGTGTGTGTGTGTGTGTGTGTGGTTGTGTGTGTGTGTGTGGTGTGTGTGTGTGTGGTGTGTGTGTGTGTGTGTGTGTTGTGGTGTGTGTGTGTGTGTGTGGGTGGGTGTGTGTTGTGGTGTGTGTGTGTGTGGTGTGTGTGTGTGTGTGTGTGTGTGTGTGTGTGTGTGTGTGTGTGGTTGTGTGTGTGTGTAATATTCATTACACAGCTACGGCTGTGTTTGTAACATTAGCCTCGGATCGCCACGAGAGATTAAAATGAGGAACTTCAGACTACGGGCTGGCCCAGACAACCGTAACAAACATACCCCACAACCTGTCGCTCACGCGTGCGGCCCCTGCAAACTAATGAAACGACACGCGTGACTCATCTTGACGTGTTGAACGCAACGGTACTCTTTTACACGCATGAGCAGCTTTGGTTTTCAGTGTCACTGTTGAATAACCAAGGTGGGATTCCAGAACAAATGATGAATAGCATCGTATTGTATGCAAAAAAAATCACATTGACTCATGCTGTGTTTAAATACGCCCTGGCAAGCCTTCCATGAAAGAGACTTTACAAGCTAGGATAGATATGTCCAATTTTACATGATCAGACCGCGGCCAGCACATACAAGCAGTCACAAATAACTTGCTTAAGTGATGTATGGACTTGTGTCTTTATTTGTATATTATATATATATATATATATATATATATATATATATATATATATATATATATATATATATAGCAAGTGTATTTCGATGACCTGGCCACCACGTTATGTTCAAACGCGGGGGGATGCATCAGTCAGCCTTCCAGTGGCGTCAGTTAATGGGGCTGTATCTCGATGACCTGGCCACCACGTTGTGTTCAAACGCGTGGGGGATGCATCAGCCAGCCTTCTAGTGGCGTCAGTTCAATGGGACTGTATCTCGATGACCTGGCCACCACGTTATGTTCAAACGCGGGGGGATACATCAGCCATCCTTCCATTGGCGTCAGTTTAATATCCCCAACAGATTTCGAAGTGCGCACTGAATGAAACG